CAGACACACGCACATGTACACACACACACGCGCACGCACACTCACACACACGCGCGCACACACACACGTGCACACGCACACACGCACACACACGAACACACACACGCACGCACACACACACACGCATGCACGCACACGCACGCACACCCACGCACACGCATGCGCACACGCACACACAAACACGCACGCACACTCACACACACAGTCAGCACACGCATAGAGGATGTGGGATTGTAGTGGTGAGCGTGGTGAGTGGTGAGCGTGGTGAGTGGTGAGCGTGGTGAGTGGTGAGCGTGGTGAGTGGTGAGCGTGGTGAGCGTGGTGAGTGATGAGTGGTGAGCGTGAGTGGTGAGTGGTGAGCGTGAGTGGTGAGTGTGGTGAGCGTGAGTGGTGAGTGGTGAGCGTGGTGGGTGGTGAGCGTGGTGAGTGGTGAGTGGTGAGAGTGGTGAGCGTGAGTGGTGAGTGGTGAGCGTGGTGAGTGGTGAGCGTGGTGAGTGGTGAGCGTGGTGAGCGTGAGTGGTGAGTGGTGAGTGTGAGTGTGAGTGGTGAGCGTGGTGAGTGGTGAGCGTGAGTGGTGAGTGGTGAGTGTGGTGAGCGTGAGTGGTGAGTGGTGAGCGTGGTGGGTGGTGAGCGTGGTGAGTGGTGAGTGGTGAGTGGTGAGAGTGGTGAGCGTGAGTGGTGAGTGGTGAGCGTGGTGAGTGGTGAGCGTGGTGGGTGGTGAGCGTGGTGAGTGGTGAGCGTGGTGAGTGGTGAGCGTGGTGAGTGGTGAGCGTGGTGAGCGTGGTGAGTGGTGAGTGGTGAGTGGTGAGCGTGAGTGGTGAGTGGTGAGCGTGAGTGGTGAGTGGTGAGTGTGGTGAGCGTGAGTGGTGAGTGGTGAGCGTGGTGGGTGGTGAGCGTGGTGAGTGGTGAGTGGTGAGAGTGGTGAGCGTGAGTGGTGAGTGGTGAGCGTGGTGAGTGGTGAGCGTGGTGGGTGGTGAGCGTGGTGAGTGGTGAGTGGTGAGTGTGAGTGGTGAGTGTGAATGTGAGTGGTGAGCGTGGTGAGTGGTGAGCGTGAGTGGTGAGTGGTGAGTGTGAGTGGTGAGCGTGAGTGTGAGTGGTGAGTGTGAGTGGTGAGCGTACATCATGCTGCTGATCTTGGCGAGGCTGTGCTCAGCGAGATGAACTTCCTTCACCGGGTTGGGGACGGGTGGCAACATCGTCTCTCCAAACATCGACCCCAGCCCCATCACCCTCCTCCTCCTACATCACCATCACCACCATCACCACCACCATCAACATCACCACCACCATCACCATCAACATCAACACCATCACCACCATCACCACCACCATCACCATCAACATCACCATCAACATCGTCAACATCACCACCATCACCACCATCATCAACATCAACATCGTCAACATCGTCAACATCGTCAACATCGTCTCTCCAAACATCGACCCCAGCCCCATCACCCTCCTCCTCCTACATCACCATCACCACCATCACCACCATCACCACCATCACCATCACCACCATCACCATCACCACCATCACCACCATCACCACCATCACCACCACCACTACCATCAACATCGTCTCTACGAACAGCGTCCAGCCAACGCGGCCTTGCCTGCCGGAGGAGCTCACCGATGGGACTTTGCCCAGATCTTTCGAAGATTTGTGAGCTCCTCACACAATCCAGCCTACAGGTTAAACCCAGGATGGATCGTAGGCAGGCCAGCCTAAATGTTTCTAACCAACGAAGATGTTCCATTAGGGGGGTCCACGTTTCGCAAACGTAGAGAAGGGAGGGCATGGCCGTGGCCGAGAAGACTCGAAGCTTGGTGCGGAGCGACAGACCAGGGAGTGTGATGAAATTCTCACTTGAAACTCTCATCAGCGAGCTGATACCAAGCCACTGAGTTTTGAATGGGGTCCTGGGTGTACACCCACCACCGGAGTGGAAGAATGGCAGGCGCATCTTAGAGATGACAAGTCGATGGTCAGTGGGCAGATCAGCTCCACGGTAGATCCTGGTGTCAAGGACATGGGCTCACATCCGCTGGTCCATCGCTATGTAGACCAGCAGATGTTCTTGCTTGGACCCGGCATGCAGCCATGATGTTGTGTGGATGCGCCGATGCCGGAACAGCGTGTTGGTAATTACAAGGCCATGGGCTGCACAAAAATCTAGCAGCCTCCTACCATTGTTATTGAGCTGATCTGGCCCATGCCTTCCAATCACTCCAGACCAGGTGCCAGCATCATGACCAACTTGGGCATCAAAGTCACCCAACAAGATGACTCTATCCTGAGGGGCCACTTTAGCTAGCACCTGTGACAGGAGGTCATAGAAGGCATCTGACTCATCGGCTTTGCCTGCATCCCTTCACGGATGTTCATCTTCAGTGGGGGCGTAAGTAACCACGACCACCACTCCTCGCCTCCGGTTGATGGGAAGGCGAGCCCAAAGTATCCTGGGGGTTACAGCTTCCCACACCTCACCACCACGCTCCCACGCCCCCTTCATTATTTTGTTCAGAACAAGAGCCACTCCCAGTTGTTTGGCAGTCTCCTGCCCCGACTAGAGGACTGGAGCTAGAGCCGGTCCACCGGACCTCCTGAATACCGCAGAGATCCAGGCGGTACCGGTCCAGCTCCCGACAGAGGAGTGGCAGCCTCTCCTCCGCAGTGAGCGTTCGAACATTCCACGTGGCCAACCGTAATGACTTTTTGTTGCTTCTGGAGGAGCCCCGAGGGTGAAGATTCAGTCTCCTGGCTCCGCCAAACGGGGTTTCGCCAGGAGACATCATAGAAGCCTGTCCCTCCGGGGCCTCCGGCACAAGCTTAGTTAGATTTTGAACTCGTGTTTTCGTGGTCCTCGTGTTGAAGGTGGAGGGGTCACCAGCCCCTCGGCACCCGTCCAGAGCCCCCGTTTGGCCGCTGCCGTGTCTACGAGCGCCAGAGCCGATGGGAATTGGGCTTCCCCCTCCATGGCATCGATCGCATCCACCGAGGAAGTAGGGGGTTGTTTTTTCCACCATCACCACCATCACCACCGTCATCACCACCATCATCACCACCGTCATCACCACCATCATCACCACCGTCATCACCACCATCATCACCACCGTCATCACCACCGTCATCACCATCATCATCACCACCGTCATCACCATCACCACCGTCATCACCACCATCATCACCACCGTCATCACCATCATCACCATCATCACCACCACCATCACCACCATCACCACCGTCATCACCACCTTCATCATCACCGTCATCACCATCACCACCGTCATCACCACCATCATCACCACCGTCATCACCATCATCACCATCATCACCACCACCATCACCACCATCACCACTGTCATCACCACCTTCATGACCACCATCATCACCACCGTCATCACCATAACCACCGTCATCACCACCATCATCACCACCGTCATCACCACCATCACCACCGTCATCACCACCGTCATCACCACCATCATCACCGCCATCACCGCCATCACCGGGGTGAGTCCCCTCACCCCTCGCCCCGGTGAGAGCGCTCACCGGTAGTCGTCCAACTGCCCCCGTGCCGTCTCCAGCGCGCCGGGCTGAGCCGTCTCCACCGCACGGCGCACCGCCTCATCGAGCACGAGGCCCGGTCGCACGCGGCACTCCTCTACACGGTGAGACACGCGGTGAGACACGCGGTGAGACACGCGGTGAGACACGCATTGAGAGACACACGGTGAGACACGCGGGGTGAGACACGCGGTGAGAGACACACGGTGAGACACGCGGTGAGACACACGGTGAGACGCGGTGAGACGCGCGGTGAGACACGGTGAGACACACGGTGAGACACACGGTGAGACACGCGGTGAGACACACGGTGAGACGCGGTGAGACACGCGGTGAGACACGGTGAGACACACGGTGAGACACACGGTGAGACGCGGTGAGACACACGGTGAGACGCGGTGAGACACGCGGTGAGACACGGTGAGACACACGGTGAGACACACGGTGAGACGCGGTGAGACACGCGGTGAGACACGGTGAGACACACGGTGAGACACACGGTGAGACGCGGTGAGACACACGGTGAGACGCGGTGAGACACGCGGTGAGACACGGTGAGACACACGGTGAGACACACGGTGAGACGCGGTGAGACACATGGTGAGAAACGGTGAGACACGGGGACATGGGAATTGGTGAGAGAGAGACATGGAACGTGGATGATGTTGATGACGATGGTGATGTTGACGATGGTGATGTTGATGGTGTTCACAACGGTGATGATGATGATGGCAATGATGATGGTGATGACGATGGTGATGACGATGGTGATGACGATGATGGTGATGATGACGATGATGGTGATGACGATGGTGATGACGATGGTGGTGACGATAATGATGACGATGATGATGATGGCGATGACGATGGTGATGACGATGGTGGTGACGATAATGATGACGATGATGATGATGGCGATGACGATGGTGATGACGATGGTGGTGACGATAATGATGACGATGATGGTGATGACGATGGTGATGATGTTTCCACTCACCCACAGCTGGTGACGATGATGGTGATGACGATGATGGTGATGACGATGATGGTGATGACGATGATGGTGATGATGTTTCCACTCACCCACAGCTGGTGACGATGATGGTGATGACGATGATGGTGATGATGATGATGATGACGATGATGGTGATGATGTTCCCACTCACCCACAGCTGAAATCAACTCGTCTGCAACGGGAATCTTCAGAGGCTGTGATCACACAGACAAAGACAAAGGTTTTCCTACCGCCCGTGTAGCCCACACAGACCGTCGGGGAAAGTGCGGTTAGCGAGCAGCAGCGATGGTGGTGGTGGTGATGGTGGTGGTGATGGTGGTGATGGTGGTGATGGTGGTGATGGTGATGGTGGTGATGGTGGTGATGGTGATGGTGGTGGTGATGGTGGTGATGGTGATGGTGGTGGTGATGGTGGTGGTGATGGTGGTGGTGATGGTGGTGATGGTGGAGGTGGTGATGGTGGTGATGGTGATGGTGGTGATGGTGGTGATGATGGTGATGGTGGTGATGGTGGTGGTGGTGATGGTGGTGGTGATGGTGATGATGGTGGTGGTGGTGATGGTGGTGATGATGGTGATGGTGGTGGTGATGGTGGTGATGATGGTGATGGTGGTGGTGATGGTGGTGGTGGTGATGGTGGTGATGATGGTGGTGGTGATGTTGATGGTGGTGATGGTGGTGATGGTGGTGATGGTGGTGGTGATGGTGATGGTGGTGATGGTGGTGATGGTGATGATGGTGATGATGATGGTGATGATGATGGTGTTGATGGTGGTGATGGTGGTGATGGTGGTGATGGTGGTGATGGTGGTGATGGTGATGATGGTGATGATGGTGCTCACCGCGTGGCGCTCCAGGAATGTGAAGTAGATCTCTGACATGGTGATGGTGTTGATGATGGTAGTGATGGTGGTGATGGTGGTGAGTGATGGTGCTAGTGGTGATGGTGATGGTGCTAGTGGTGATGGTGGTGATGGTGATGGTGGTGATGGTGGTGATAGTGATGGTGATGTTGATGGTGGTGAGTGTAGTGATGGTGTTGATGGTGGTGAGTGATGGTGCTAGTGATGGTGCTAGTGGTGATGGTGGTGAGTGATGGTGCTAGTGATGGTGCTAGTGGTGATGGTGGTGAGTGATGGTGCTAGTGGTGATGGTGGTGATGGTGGTGATGGTGGTGAGTGATGGTGCTAGTGATGGTGCTAGTGGTGATGGTGGTGAGTGATGGTGCTAGTGGTGATGGTGGTGATGGTGGTGATGGTGGTGAGTGATGATGATGATGGTGCTGCTGCTCACCGCGTGGCGCTCCAAGAAAGAGAAGTAGATCTCTGACATGAGCTTCTTGGGGTCTTTGGAGTGTTGAGCCGCCTCCACACACAGATGGAACAGCTGGTCACACCGCACACCACACACCACCGTCACCATCACCACACCACACCGCCACCGTCACCACACCGTCACCGTCACCGTCACCACACACCACACCGTCACCACACACCGCACCGTCACCACACACCGCACCGTCACCACACACCGCACCGTCACCACACACCGCACCGTCACCACACACCGCACCGTCACCACACACCGCACCGTCACCACACACCGCACCGTCACCACACACCGCACCGTCACCACACACCGCACCGTCACCACACACCGCACCGTCACCACACACCGCACCGTCACCACACACCGCACCGTCACCACACACCGCACCGTCACCACACACCGCACCGTCACCACACCGTCACTGTCACCACCATCAAGATGAGTAAGTTGTGGCTGATCACCAGGGCGGTGGGTTCCAGCTGGGACAGGACGTGGTGGTGGTGAGTGGTAGTGGTGAGTGGTGGTGAGTAGTGGTGGTGGTGAGTGGTGGTGAGTGTGCTCACCAGGGCGGCGGGCTCCAGCTGTGACAGCACGTACTGCAGGAACACTGCCATGTGAGTGGTGAGTGGTGGTGAGTGGTGGTGGTGAGTGGTGGTGAGTGGTGGTGAGTGGTGGTGGTGGTGAGTGGTGGTGGTGAGTGGTGGTGAGTGGTGGTGTGAGTGGTGGTGGTGAGTGGTGGTGAGTGGGTGGTGGTGAGTGGTGGTGAGTGCGCTCACCAGGGCGGCGGGCTCCAGCTGGGACAGCACGTACTGCAGGAACACTGCCATGTGAGCCGGGCGGCTCCGCAGCTGGTCCAGGTCAGAGAACGGACCATGGTCATCACTCTGGCGGACAGAGACACGGGGGGAGAGAGACACGGTGAGACAGAGACATGGGGAGAGAGAGACACGGGGAGAGACAGAGAGACACGGGGGGAGAGAGACACGGGGTGAGACAGAGAGACACGGGGAGAGACAGAGAGACACGGGGAGAGAGACACAGGGGGAGAGACATGGGGGGAGACACGGGGGGAGAGAGACACGGTGAGACAGAGACATGGGGAGAGAGAGACACGGGGAGAGACAGAGAGACACGGGGAGAGAGAGACACGGGGAGAGAGAGACACGGGGGGAGAGACACGGGGAGAGAGACACGGGGAAAGAGAGACACGGGGGGAGAGAGACACGGGGAAAGAGAGACACGGGGAGAGACACGGGGAGAGAGACACGGGGTGAGAGAGACACGGGGGGAGAGACACGGGGAGAGAGACACGGGGAAAGAGAGACACGGGGAGAGAGACACGGGGAGAGACACGGAGAGAGAGACATGGAGAGAGAGACACGGGGGGAGAGACACGGGGAGAGAGACACGGGGAAAGAGAGACACGGGGGGAGAGAGACACGGGGAAAGAGAGACACGGGGGAGAGACACGGGGAGAGAGACACGGGGTGAGAGAGACACGGGGAGAGAGAGACACGGGGGGAGAGACACGGGGAGAGAGACACGGGGAGAGAGACACGGGGTGAGAGAGACACGGGGAGAGACAAAGAGACACGAGGTGAGACACGGGGGGAGAGAGACACGGGTGTGTGACCATGCGTATGCGTGTGTGTCTGTGCGTGTGTGCATGTGTGTCTGTGCGTGTGTCTGTGCGTGTGTCTGTCTGTGCGTGTCTGTGCGTGTGTCTGTGCGTGTGTCTGTGCGTGTCTGTGCGTGCGTGTCTGTGCGTGTCTGTGCGTGCGTGTGTGTGCGTGTCTGTGTGTGCGTGTGTGTGCGTGTCTGTGCGTGTCTGTGCGTGTGTCTGTGCGTGTGTCTGTGCGTGTCTGTGTGTGTGTCTGTGCAGGTCCGCGTGTGCGTGTGTGTCCGTGCGTGTGTGTCTGTGCGTGTGTCTGTGCGTGTCCGTGCGTGCGTGTCTGTGCGTGTGTCTGTGCGTGTGTCTGTCTGTGCGTGTCCGCGTGTGCGTGTGTGTCCGTGCGTGTGTCTGTGCGTGTGTCTGTGCGTGTCTGTGCGTGTGTGTCTGTGCGTGTCTGTGCGTGCGTATGTGTGCGTGTCTGTGTGTGCGTGTCTGTGTGTGCGTGTGTGTGCGTGTCTGTGTGTGTGTCTGTGCGTGTCCGCGTGTGCGTGTGTGTCCGTGCGTGTGTGTCTGTGCGTGTGTCTGTGCGTGTGTCTGTGCGTGCGTGCCCCCCCCCGTGCCCCCCACCTGCTCCTCGTCAGAGAGGAACTCGTCGTCCTCCGGGCCCATGATCTTCTGCGGCCCCGTGGAGCAGCCCCCCGACGCCTGCAGACACAGACAAAGGTCCCCCGTGCGGCCCACACGCAATGTAGCGGCAAGGGCTCTTAGCCGCGAGCAGCGGCAGCGCCTGTGAAGGCCGGCACCACCACCACCATCATCACCACCAACATCACCGCCACCACTATCATTACCACCAACATTACCACCATCATCATCACCACCATCACCACCATCACCACCACCACCACCACCATCACCACCATCACCACCACCAACATCACCATCACCACCACCACCATCACCACCATCACCACCACCAACATCACCACCACCACCACCACCACCATCACCACCATCACCACCACCAACATCACCATCACCACCACCACCATCACCACCATCACCACCACCAACATCACCACCACCACCAACATCACCATCACCACCATCATCATCATCATCACCATCACCACCATTATCACCATCACCACCACCACCACCACTATCATTACCACCAACATCACCACCATCATCACCACCACCACCATCACCACCACCATCATCATCACCACCACCACCACCACCATCATCGTCACCACCACCACCACCATCATCACCAGCACCACCACCACCATCATCGTCACCACCACCACAACCACCATCACCACCACCGCCATCACCACCACCACCACCACCACAATCATCATCATCAGCGCCACCACCGCTGCCCAGCTGGACGAGCGAGCGATTAAGTGAGTTAGCGAGCGAGTGAGCGACTTAGTGAGTGAGTGAGCGACTTAGTGAGTGAGTGAGTGATTTAGTGAGTGAGTGAGTGAGTGAGCGACTGAGTGAGTGAGTGAGCAAGTGAGTGAGTGAGCGACTGAGTGAGTGAGTGACTAAGTGAGTGAGCGAATGAGCGATCGAGTGAATGAGCGAGCGAGTGACTTAGTGAGTGAGCGACTTAGTGAGTGAGTGAATGAGCGAGTGAATGAGCAAGTGAGTGACTGAGTGAGTGAGTGACTGAGTGACTGAGAGAATGAGCAAGTGAACGAGTGAATGAGTGAGCGAGCGAGTGAGTGACTGAGTGAGCGACTGAGTGACTGAGCAAGCAACTCAGTGAGTGAATGAGTGAGTGAATGAGCGAGTGAGTGAATGAGTGAATGAGTGAGTGAATGAGCGAGTGAGTGACTGAGTGAGCGACTGAGCGAGCGAGTGACTTAGTGAGTGACTTAGTGAGTGAGTGAATGAGTGAGTGAATGAGCAAGTGAGTGACTAAGTGAATGAGTGAGTGAATGAGCGAGTGACTGAGCGAGCGACTCAGTGAGTGAATGAGCGAGTGAGTGACCGAGTGAGCGACTGAGCGAGCGAGTGACTTAGTGAGTGAGTGAATGAGTGAGTGAATGAGCAAGTGAGTGACTGAGTGAATGAGTGAGTGAATGAGCGAGCGACTGAGCGAGCGACTCAGTGAGTGAATGAGTGAGTGAATGAGCGAGTGAGTGAATGAATGAGTGAATGAGCGAGCGACTGAGCAAGCAACTCAGTGAGTGAATGAGTGAGTGAATGAGCGAGTGAGTGAATGAGTGAATGAGCGAGTGAATGAGCGAGTGAGTGAATGAGTGAATGAGCGAGTGAATGAGCGAGTGAGCCAACGTCTGGCTGCACCATCTCACCAGGTCCATCTCCGTATCGTCCATGGTGAGTGGTGGAGATCACCGAGTCACCCACCGGCTCACCCACCGGCTCACCCACGGGGTCACTCACCGGGTCACCGGCAAGAGGAGGGGAGGGGGGTGTCGGTCCTCCTCACACTCTGCTGGGGGTGGGGGGGAGAGGGGTCAAAGGTCACAATCTCAAGAGTTCAGCTGGTGAGGTCAACCACGGGTTTGGTTCACAGTGGCTGTGAGACTCACACAGAGACCCACAGACTTACACAGAGATCCATAGACTCACACAGAGACCCATAGACTCACACAGAGACCCATAGACTCACACAGAGACCCATAGACTCACACAGAGATCCATAGACTCTCACAGAGACCCACAGACTTACACAGAGATCCATAGACTCACACAGAGACCCATAGACTCACGCAGAGACCCATAGACTCACACAGAGACCCACAGACTTACACAGAGACCCACACACTCACACAGAGACCCACAGACTCTCATACAGAGACCCGTAGACTCACACAGAGACCCGTAGACTCACACAGAGACCCGTAGACTCTCATAGAGACCCATAGACTCACACAGAGACCCACAGACTCACACAGAGACCCGTAGACTCACACAGAGACCCACAGACTCACACAGAGACCCGTAGACTCACACAGAGACCCACAGACTCACACAGAGACCCACAGACTCACACAGAGACCCATAGACTCACACACAGACCCACAGACTCACACAGAGACGCACAGACTCACACAGAGACCCGTAGACTCACACACAGACCCACAGACTCACACAGAGACCCACAGACTCACACAGAGACCCGTAGACTCACACACAGACCCACAGACTCACACAGAGACCCACAGACTCTCATAGAGACCCACAGACTCACACACAGACCCACAGACTCACACAGAGACCCGTAGACTCTCACACAGAGACCCTACACACCCGCCAGGCTGCTTACCCGAGCACACAAAGACACAAAGACCAAGATCCCCCGTGTAGCCTGTAACAGACTGTTGGGGCAAGTGCTGTTAGCGAGTAGCACCTACGAAGGCCGGCACGGCACACGAAGGCCGGCACGGCACACGAGGGGGTGGGTGGCCAGCACCCGCCCAGCCGCCCAGCCGCCCTAGATGGTGGCGACACCGCGGCACGGCCTTATTAGCCCTCGGCGCGAGCCCCGAGCCGTAAACACCGGGGGCGGCAACGTCCACAAGCCACGGCGCTCACCGCACACACTCGCACCGAGACCCCCGGCTAGTCGGGGCGAGCGCCTACCCACACACGGCGCTCACCGCACACACTCGCACCGAGACCCTCGGCTAGTCAGGGCAGCGCCTACCAAGGCACGGCGCTCACCCCACACACGGCGCTCACCCCATACACGGCGCTCACCGCACACACTCGCACCGAGACCCCCGGCTAGTCGGGGCGAGCGCCTACCACGGCCGGCGCTGTGGTGCACACAGAGGGGGCGGGCGCCACGCGACGAGTCGCTCATTTGAGGCCGAGTCGACCTAGGGGAGGCCCGGGACCGGTTCAGATAATTGTCACCACCGGTGGTGTCAGTGGCCGTGAGCGGGGATCGAACTCGGCTCGTGGTTGGGTTCTTGAGCTACGCGGGGCCAACCGCAGGGCGGGGCCAACCGCCACAGGGCGGGGCCAACCGCCGCAGGGCGGGGCCAACCGCCGCAGGGCGGGGCCAACCGCCGCAGGGCGGGGCCAACCGCCGCAGGGCGGGGCCAACCGCCGCAGGGCGGGGCCAACCGCCACAGGGCGGGGCCAACCGCCACAGGGCGGGGCCAACCGCCACAGGGCGGGGCCAACCGCCGCAGGGCGGGGCCAACCGCCGCAGGGCGGGGCCAACCGCCGCAGGGCGGGGCCAACCGCCGCAGGGCGGGGCCAACCGCCGCAGGGCGGGGCCAACCGCCACAGGGCGGGGCCAACCGCCACAGGGCGGGGCCAACCGCCACAGGGCGGGGCCAACCGCCGCAGGGCGGGGCCAACCGCCACAGGGCGGGGCCAACCGCCGCAGGGCGGGGTCAACCGCCGCAGGGCGGGGCTAACCGCCACAGGGCGGGGTCAACCGCCGCAGGGCGGGGCTAACCACCGCAGGGCGGGGCTAACCGCCATAGGGCGGGGCTAACCACCACAGGGCGGGGCTAACCGCCATAGGGCGGGGCTAACCACCGCAGGGCGGGGCCAACCGCAGGGCGGGGCCAACCGCCGCAGGGCGGGGCTAACCACCGCAGGGCGGGGCTAACCACCGCAGGGCGGGGCTAACCACCGCAGGGCGGGGCTAACCGCCGCAGGGCGGGGCTAACCGCCGCAGGGCGGGGCTAACCGCCATAGGGCGGGGCCAACCGCCGCAGGGCGGGGCTAACCGCCGCAGGGCGGGGCTAACCGCCACAGGGCGGGGCTAACCGCCACAGGGCGGGGCTAACCGCCACAGGGCGGGGCTAACCGCCACAGGGCGGGGCTAACCGCCACAGGGCGGGGCTAACCACCACAGGGCGGGGTTAACCACCGCAGGGCGGGGCTAACCACCACAGGGCGGGGCTAACCACCACAGGGCGGGGCTAACCACCACAGGGCGGGGCTAACCACCACAGGGCAGGGCTAACCGCCACAGGGCGGGGCTAACCGCCACAGGGCGGGGCTAACCACCACAGGGCGGGGCTAACCACCACAGGGCGGGGCTAACCGCCACAGGGCGGGGCTAACCGCCACAGGGCGGGGCTAACCACCACAGGGCGGGGCTAACCGCCACAGGGCGGGGCTAACCGCCACAGGGCGGGGCTAACCGCCACAGGGCGGGGCTAACCACCGCAGGGCGGGGTTAACCACCGCAGGGCGGGGCTAACCGCCACAGGGCGGGGCTAACCGCCATAGGGTGGGGCCAACCGCCGCAGAGCGGGGCTAACCGCCGCAGGGCGGGGCTAACCGCCACAGGGCGGGGCTAACCGCCACAGGGCGGGGCTAACCGCCACAGGGCGGGGCTAACCGCCACAGGGCGGGGCTAACCGCCACAGGGCGGGGCTAACCGCCACAGGGCGGGGCTAACCACCACAGGGCGGGGCCAACCACCGCAGGGCGGGGCTAACCGCCGCAGGGCGGGGCTAACCGCCATAGGGTGGGGCCAACCGCCGCAGAGCGGGGCTAACCGCCGCAGGGCGGGGCTAACCGCCACAGGGCGGGGCTAACCGCCACAGGGCGGGGCCAACCGCCACAGGGCGGGGCTAACCACCACAGGGCGGGGCCAACCGCCACAGGGCGGGGCTAACCACCACAGCCGGGGGATCCTCAGGAAATTGAAAAGATCGTGCACCGAGCCTGGTACGGGACCGAGTCCTCGATGCAGGTGGAGGAGTCCACGAGTGAGGTTCAAGGGAGCAGCCACCGCGGCGGCGGTAGCAGCCGTAGACGAGAGACACGCAGGTGACCGGCCGTGCGGCGAGGTTAGCGAGCCAATCGGCGAGTGCCGGACTGCCGCCCGCGCGCCCAGACGAGGAGGCTGATGGGATGCGTCGACTCGGTGAGCACAGCAGAAGCCCTCTTGGCGACGGCAACCGGCTGTTCGGCGATTTGGTCGCTAAGCGAGTTGAGGAAATGCGCGTCGAAAGTACAGTGAAGGGGAAACCCAAGGAGATATAAAGGCAAAGGTCCCCCCGACAGGCTTAACGGACTCTTACCCCAGCACACAAAGACACAAAGGCAAAGATCCCCCGTGTAGCCTGTAACAGACTGTGAGGGCAAGTGCAGTCAGCGAGTTCTGATGAAGGCCGGCACGGCACACGAGCGGCTGGCGGTTACCAACACCACGCCCGGCCGCCTTTGTCTCACCAGTGCCGATGTTTACCGCACATTGCACCGGGTACTCGTTTGAGGCTGAGTCAACCTAGGGGAGGCCCAGTACCGACTCAGATCATTGTCACTGGCGTTGGCCACGAGCGGGAATCGAACTCGGATAGCAGCGTAGCGCTAACCACTACACCACCGCTCCCCACCAGGTACTCACTACCACAACAACAATCACCGCCATTCGCCACTCAGTGGCGGTGACGTCACCACAGCGCTTGTGCCAGGCCATGTGCACCTTGAGGACACGTGAAGTATCGAATGCCCGCTGGCAGGAGGTCACGGGGCAGACCCAGGTGCCACGGGTCGTCTGACCGAGATGACCGAGATGACTGGCTGATGCACCACCTGTGCCACCTACTGTACCAACTTGCTGTGCTTTAGCCACCCGGCGCTCCGCTCGTTGTTGTGAGCGTCGCTCCTCCGCCCTCCGTTGTTGTTGGAGGGCGACTGCCTCCAACTGCCCAGTAGCGTCCTTCACGAGCCTCCTCCACAGAGGCCGATCTTGACACCGCTGGTACCAGTCATCAGCAAGTCCACTCAGCTCCACGTCCTCCTGTACCACATCACTCCATCTCTTCTCTAGCCCGTGCCGCGCCCGTTTAGCCCCCTCGATCCGGCCGAACAAAAGCTTTTTAGCCATGCGGTGATTGGGCATGCGGGCTACATGACCCAGCCAACGCAACCTTGCCTGCCGGAGGAGCTCACCGATGGGACTTTGCCAAACTAAATGTTTCTAACCGGCGAAGATTCTCCATTAGCGGGGGTCAACATTTCGCAAGCATAGAGAAGAGAGGGCATGACTGTGGCCGAGAAGACCCGAAGCTTCGTGCGGAGCGACAGACCAGGTAGCTTCCACACAGCGTTACGCAGCCGAAAAAAAGATATTGCCGCTCGACTGATTCGGAGTGAGACCTCTGCTGTCAAACCGGAGCCGGTCATGAGCACACTGCCCAGGTTTGGGAAACTCTCCACTCTCTCCATAACTTCCCCATCACCAATTGGGAGTTGTGGGGGTGGAGTGTCCGATGGTACAAAATACCCAGTACACACACACACAATAGTACACACACAAAGACAAAGATCCCCCATGTAGCCTTAACAGACTGTAGGGGCAAGTGCTGTTAGCGAGCACCTATGAAGGCTGCAACGGCACACGAGGGGGTGGGTGGCCAGCACCACGCCCGGCCGCCTTTGTCTCCCCAGTGGCGATGTTTACACACCGCACCAGGTACTCATTTGAGGCTGAGTTGACCTAGGGGAGGCCCA